CGCCCCCCGCGCGGCTCTCCCCATGGCAGCAGCGCCCAGTGCGACGCTGTCACTCGGCCACGGGGCCTGGCCACGAAGAATACGCCCCCGCCGGGGCGCAGCGGGATTAGAGCCTCCCTCCCAAACCCGCCAGGGTGCAGCGCTGGCCCTCGGGAGGGAGGGGCTATTGTTGGTGTGAGGGGATTACGCGTCTCCCGCCCCAGGAGAGAGACAGGAGAATGATGGGATTAGCCACTGTCCGGCTGCTGCTCACACCGAGATCTGAGGAGCTTTGGCCTCCAGCGTGGGGCTTGTGGGCCTCGAGAAATCTTCATTTGTGGCAAGAAAGAGAGCCGGGGAGGGGTCGCTCTGCATGAGAAAAGCTGCCTGGCTTCCCCCAGCACCTCTGGGGCAAAGGTTAATGGGTTTCTTGCTCCCTAATGGAGGCTGATCCCCGGGCTGACAGGGACAGCAGAGACTGACACCCGCCTTCGAGCCCCGGCTTGCTCTGCCAGCCCGGCCATTGTGTCCTGGACAGGCAGGGGAGTGGCTCAGCCGGCCGCTGCCGTGTGGCTGTCGGTGTGATCGGCCGGCAGTACCCGCGGAGCCCTTCCTTCCCGGAATGAAGCCATCAGCATTGCCTGCCTTGCCTTGCTGATGCCGGACAGCTGCCGGGTTCCACCCCAGAGCTGGCTGCCTTTCAGTGCGCTGGTGAAGCAGTCCCCACTTCCGTGCTCCGGGAGGCCCTTTGGGAGGAGAGGCCCTGTAGCTAGCCATGCGTGGCGGTAAACAAGTGGCGCGTTAGTGGCAGTGCGCTCATTTCATTCTAGTGACTGGGCAAAAACTGGCAGAGACCTGATCTCCAGCGCAGCCGTCTGGGGAGAAGCCCCGTGGGCTTTCCCACCACCGGTCCCCTCCCTTTGCTCCCCCCTTCCTGGGCATTCTGCCGCCAAGATCCCCGTGAACTCAGATCCACACCTGTCCCTCTCCAGGGCTCGGCAGCATGACGTGTCCGTGCTGCGCTGCGTGGGCAGAGCAGTGCTAGATCCCAGGCACTGGTGCCTTTTGCAGGGTTGGGGCCGGCCGGCAGGGGCTGTCTGTCTGGAGACGCCCTGGAGCCTGGACCGGGCCATTAGGAGGCGAGTGCTGGTTTCTGGTTCCTCATCCCTCTTGTGTGGCTTCCCCAAGGTCCGCGAAGCAGCCCAGTCCCTGAACCCTGGGCTGGTGGCTGGGGGCGCCTCCCGCCGGGGGAAGTCCACCTGCGGGGACGTGGACGTCCTGGTGACCCACCCCGATGGGCAGTCTCACCGCGGCGTCTTCGGTGGGCTGCTGGACAGCCTGCGGCGGAGCGGTACGTGGGGCGCGGTGGGGGGCTCGGGATCAGGACCGCTGAAGAGCCGGGTCTTGGGGGTCGGGAGGGGTATCCCCATGCGCCCCCCCAGGAGTCCTGGCTGCGGCTGAGCCGGAGGCTGGGTGGATGGATCCCAGCTGGTCCTAAGGCTGTGTTCTCACGGGCTGGTGCTGCGGTGGGCAGCTCCCCGGGGGGCCTGGTAGCAGCTGAGGGCCAAAGGCAGCGCCAGGTGCGGTGCTGCCGGTGCGGTGGGCGTGGCTTGCCCGGGGGGCAGTGCAGTGCATTGTGGGATACTTTGGTGGGAGGTGCTAGCCCAGCCCCTCTCACTCCGCCCCTCCGGCAGGGTTGCTCACCGACGACCTGGTGAGCCAGGAGGACAGCGGTGCCCAGAAGAAGTACCTGGGCGTGTGCCGGCTGCCTGGGCCGGGGCGGCGCCACCGACGCCTCGACATCATCGTGGTGCCCCACGGCGAGTTCGCTTGCGCCCTGCTCTACTTCACCGGCTCGGCCCACTTCAACCGCTCCATGCGCGCGCTGGCCAAGACCAAGGGCATGAGCCTGTCGGAGCACGCGCTCCACACGGCCGTGGTGCGCGCCCCCGGCGGCCGCAAGGTGGAGCCCGGCCTCGTCCTGCCCACCCCCACCGAGAGGGACGTCTTCACGCTGCTGGGGCTGCCCTACCGGGAGCCCGCCGAACGGGATTGGTGAGGCGGTTGGGGCCACCCAGTGTTCCCTGTAATGGTTTCCAGTCGTGTGCGGAATCAATTTTGTTATGTGCGCCGAGACATGTGTGGCTGTGAACCACCCATACAAACGGTGCCGGGTGGGGGCATTCTGCTAATCAGCTGGGAGGCATTTGAATCTCTCCTGGGCAGCTGCCCAGGAGAGATTCAAATGCCTCCCAGCTGATTAGCAGAATGCCCCCACCCGGCACCGTTTGTATGGGTGGTTCACAGCCACACATGTCTCGGCGCACATAACAAAATTGATTCCGCACACGACTGGAAACCATTACAGGGAACACTGGGACCAACCCCACCCGCCGGAGCCTGCCAGCTGCCTGATGAGCTCTGCCAGCCCAAGGCCCAGGCAGGGCGGGGCGAGGCCGGGGTTCCCCTCAGACTCCTTAGTCTTCGGGCTGCGTTGGGCTTGCTTTTGAGGTGGCCCTGGGCGCCAGTGGCTGCTGTTGCTGCTTGTGGCACTTTGACTGCCCAGCCAGGCCGGGGAGTTGGCCCTTGCCAGCTCTGGAATGTAGTTCTGTAGCCTGCTGGGATCGGGGGAGTGGCGGGGTCCCCCAATGTTTCCACGTCAGCAGCCGTCGCTCCGTTCAGAGCCAAACCGGCTCTGCTGCCATGGCACGGGGCTGGCGCCTCCTCCCGGGAGCTCTGCTTCGTGCTGCTCGCGGCGGGCTCTCTGCTCTGACGCTGTACAGGCAACGCTGCGGGGGGGGAGGAATTGGCTGAGCAGTCGGGAGATTCAGTTCTGGGCCCCGCTGGGGGTAGAATTTAATGCCACACGCCGGGAACTGCCATCAAGCTCACCAGCCCTCCCGGCTTGGGCGTGCTGATACGGGCCCCTGCTGCTGTGTTCCCTGCGCATCCAGGATGGGGTTGGAAGGGGGATGCTGCCGTCGTGGATTGAAAGGCCAGAAGGAACCACCCTGCTCGTCTGGTCTGAC